CTGACTTTTTACATTCATGTTTCCGGTCACCATGGCAACAGTCAAACTGATGAGTCACATTTGCTTAAACATATATTTGTGTGTGTTTCAACATGCACTAACAAGGTAACAAGGTTAATAGTTGAAATAGTATACATCATCACACGTTTCCTCCCCTGTAACCTTCTTTTCATGGTTTCTGTAAAATTGAACAAATGAACATTATTCCCCACCCAACCAATCTCCTTCCCTCTAGCTCCCACTCTTCTCATCATACCCTTTAACCTTTCGCAGCCATGGAACCTTATCTTTTAATGAAAAATACATGTACTCCCCTAATACAATTATTATAGCACTTTGTGTAATAGGTCTGCCTACATAAAGAAGGAAGGATGATATGGAACAAGACCATAAGCCCTGTTTATTTTGTGGAAAGGGAGCATACAGGGTAAGGAGAGGGGAGTCATAATTTTCATGTATGTGTTTTTGTTTAGATCTGTTATTTTTGCATTAAATTGTGGATTTTAAATATGGATTTTTTTGTATAAATCCTTTTTACAAATTGCGAGTTAAAACAGGCTGACTTAAACACACTAGATAGGGAAGAACAATGCTGCTTATTAACTTGTTACTTTTAGAACAACTGATTTGCCAGATATGTCCTTAAACCTGACTTGCAGATGATCCTACAGCAGCTATTGATCTGCTTTTAGAAAGATTGATCATATACTGTATCAGATAAAAACATTCAGTCATGATCTGCGTTATCCTCCAGCCAGCAGACATTTTATATGAAATCCACCTACAGGCCTCCAAGCATGAGTTACTCATAAGGTCAGGAAGTCCTGAGTGACAATGTACAGTTACAGTCTGTAAATCTTTCTTCGTGCAGGATGTCTTGGCTGGAAACCATCTGGTTTCTGCAGTAACTGATCTTCATCACAACTCCCTATAAATACAGTACTGAATGAACTTACTGACCACAGTGGGTAGCTTGACTGAGATTAGGATAATTGTATCTCTATTCAAGAGTCTATTCCTAAATGTAGTGGTCTATTGTAAAGCAGTTAAGTGGAAAAATACTATAGAAATCCTCCAAGTGCAAGATAATTACAGTGTTTCTAGTGGCAGCCACAACACTTACCAAAGTCACGATCGGGGTCACTTAAAGGTACTTTGCCATCTCCTGTAATTCAAGTATTAAAAGCATAGAAAAGCTGCCAAGAGCAAAGCAAAACTCTTGTGAAAAAAGGCGACCTTTGAGAGCTCCGCTGACCACTGAGTCACCTGTGTCATGAATTCAAAGAAACCAGAGAGCACATTCGGAAGTCACTTAGTGTGATCAATACAGGATTGTGTTGCCCTAAGAAAGGGGGAACACAGAACAGGCAAACAACAGACCACCAGGTGACTTATGCTAAACAGATCTGCATCTATGACCAATTTCTGGTTTATCCATCATTTTATTTTGTTAGATTTAATCTAAATTTTACCTAGTCAGATCAGCTAACGATAACTCGCAGGCCAGTCTGATTTTTAACCACTCTACAGTACATCATTGGTCTGGTCATTGTAATAGGTATGAGCCAACTCTGTGTGTCTGCTGCCATCTAGTGTACAGATGCATCTAGTGTAATGCACCCCCCCCCCCCCATCTTTATATTTGAACTCAGACACTTTAAGACAAAATTACATTTTCCAGTTTTATTTTCCATTGCACAGTAATCTCTATCTACAGAATTTCTAAACTTCTGTGGCAGAAGATAGTCATAAACATCCATGTGAAAGTTGCATAAAACTGTACAAGAAAATTGGCTACAATGAGAAAAATACTGCAACTCAGTGATAACTGTTAAATCCAGGAGAAAAGATGGTGTATGGCAAATGGACAGGATTCCCTCTTGTCGTTGTCTGACTTTGTGAATTGTTTGGGTAGGAACACTGCATACTGTAGTGCACGGACAAGAAACTAATCACTCAAAGATGAAAAGACAAGTATACAACATTTAAAAAAAGAAAAGAAAAAACCAAACACATATAAACACTTGGGTTGGAGGGAAAGATGCTGAACAAGGTTTCAGGGATGACCTCTAGATAAACCCAGCTGTATTTCATGAATCTTTTTTTTTTTTTATCTCTTCTTCACCACAAGGGAAACAACAGTGCTACCTACCAGCATCCACAGTACAATTAAGCACAAAGAAGAAGAAGAAAAAGAGAGAAATCAGAGGACAAAGGCAAGGACTGAAAAGTGAAGGGGCGCTGTGTGAATCAGAATTCAGAGGTCATCCTCTAATGCTCATTATTCTATTTAGTTTTTGTCATCATTGGTTTTAGTTGGGTAACAAACACTCAACTGGGCACAGACTGCTGATTGGTGAGAGACAAGGACATCAACATCAATTATTAAACAAAATCATCATCAGTAATATCACTTAATTTACATGAACACACCCTAACACAGACAGTACAAACACATACATTCACACATGGGTGCACACATAGATGAATACCATAAATATTGTGTGTCTGAGCCATAGTGGAATGCTTCGGGGTTTTGTTTCTTATCACCCAGCAGTTAGGTCACTTTAAACATCAAACATTTGTCCAGCTGTTACATTATATGACACACTGTAACACAATATTCCTACAGTATAAATGGCTGAGTTCCTTTGCAACTTGCTCAGTTTCTTTAACCCTGAAAGGTGACAAAGATTATAATATTCCTAAATGGGCCTGATCCTGGGTCTGCACTCCACATGTGAAACCGTCTGGAAGTACACATATTACTGCGTCTGGTGCTGAGACTCATGGCGTGACAAGCCAATTGACAACAGAAAAGCTAAAGCAACTCTTTGGTGTCAGAAAAAATATGGCCTCTCTCCTCTTATGTTGCTGGAGCAACCTTGACATTTACTTTCCAGTTGGTCTTAGATTGTCAAACTATTTACTTATATACAAATTAAGGTTAATAGCCTGGTAGACATAGATGCACCAGATTTGAGCTTTACTGCAAACATGGGAATGAAAACAAGATATTGATGAAGTTTCTGACACCAAGCACAACTGTCTCTTGCACCTCAGTAAATAAATACAGTATTAATAAAAGAATCACCCAGGCAACTTTCTCGCCTAAGCAAATGTCAGCAAAGGACAAATGAAATGTGTTTTTAAAGGATTACACATTCATATTTCTATTATCCTGCATATATGAATACACATAAATAGGCTTTCTACTTACGTGTACGTAATCCCCCTTCAGAATTTGGAAACTCGTGAAAACCCAACAAATGTGGCTAGACTATTAGTGCATTTAACACTGATCTCATCAGTATAGTCACATTAATCCTAACTGTGGAAGCTTATGACATTAATGGGTGGGGGAGGCAGGACAAGTCAATAGATGAGATCCTCAGGTAAACAATAAACATGTATGGTTCATATGCACTTGGTGTGTCGGTGAGTACTAAATGATATATGCCTTTTATATCCTTGCCCTCCTTTTTTAAATTCCAGCCCTTTTCATAAGAAGAAATTAATTGGTTGTTAGACAAAAGCCACAAAATCCTCTTTCAACAAACCAAATATCATCCACTTTCACAAGAATAGAAAAATAAGAGATTTTCCAGTAATACAGAGCCAAAAAACCCAACGAATAACAAATAGGGGGAATGGGGAAAAAAGAGAAATTAACACCCACACAAATGGTTGGTATGAAAGTCTGTGGGATACGGGGGGAGTCTAGAGGTTGGGTGAGATGAGATATCCAGTTTACATCAAAATAAGTTGCTTTTATCCCTGTGACTCTGCATAGAGGAGGTGTCACTCTCCTCCTGTGGATCTCCAACGCTGCCTCCTTTGGCCTTCCCACCTTGTCTCCTTGATCCCTTTCTTTAGTACTTGTCACTCAGAAGTGAATACAGCATTGCACATTTATTAGATTTATTTATATATAAGGATGTATTTAGATTTGTTTTCCTTCTTTTTACATTTTAAGAATATTTTTTGTAGTCTGTTTCTTCATTAGGTATTTGTCTTTTTTTTTTCAGCTGTGTTCATTCATTTGAATGCGGCCCGCGATGGGCTCAAAGTGGAGACAACAGTGAAGGACTTTTTTGGCAAATGAGAACAAAGAACCTCCAGCTGCGCAGGCCAGTCGGCTACCTCGGAGGAGAGGTTGAAGGAAGATAAACAAATAGACAAGAACATAAAAAAGGCGCCTTTTATTTGCTCCCTCTGAGCTTGTCCTTCCTTCCCTGGTTACCCCTCAGTTCCAGCTTAAGACTGAGGTAAGAACAGTATTCAACATTGTGCTAGGGAAGAAAATCCCAAGTGTCTCAGTGAACATGGCTTGGAGAGATGGATGAATGAACAGATGGACAAGCGCTGGGATCACTGTGAGTCCAGGTGAGCCAATGGAAGGTGACAGCCGTGCCCATGAAATACTGCTCCGCCCCTGTTACTAATCAGAACTGGTACCATTTTTTGTCTTTGCACTTCAGCATCATCTGAAAACAGAAAATGCTGGAGTGAGAACATGGTTCAAAGTATGCGGAATACCTACCTAGTGACTCAAGGTATCAGCTACTAATGCTTCTCTTGTCTATAAAGTTCATAAATGTTGACATTTTTGGTTCAATTTGGGCTACTACTGTACAGTATGTTGCCACAGTATGAATTTATGAACATTACCTCATGGGCGTGTTTGGAAAAGGTATCTGCACTGGCCATCATAGCAGCTGTCCTCTCCTCCAGCTCACCCAGTTTCTGGCCTCTTTCATCCAGAGCTATTCGAGCACGTGCCAGATCTCCAACCACGCCAGAGGCAGCCCCCTTCATGCCCTCAATGCCACCCAGACCTGGGATGTGCTGAGCCAGGCTTCGAGATGCCCGTCCAGCTACTAACTCACCAACTGAGCAGCAGAACACAAAGAAAAAAAGGACAAGACGTGTGAAGGAGACGATGCCTTAAAAGGACTGAAACACAGTATATGTGAGAATGTGTAGGTCTGTCATACATAGCTCCTCTCTATCTAGTGACTGTGCTCCTCCGCCAAAGAGACCTTTGAAGAACCCTCTGTTGGGGGCCTCTGGTGTCTCCACTGGTGTAAAAAGTTCACCCAGCATCTCCTAATAGAGCAACACACAAGCACATTACACTTGCACATTCAGTTTGACTGCGTGTCTACACATTCAGGGTTTTATTATCTATTAGAGCATATATATACATAACACTACAAACATAGCACACTACATGCAAGGCCTAGCAGACAGCAGAGTATAGTTTCTCAGCAACTGTGCAATACTATAACCTTGTATTTCCTCCAGTTTGATATGATCATGTCAGTTGCCTTTATTACAAAATGTTTCCTATGCAGTACAACATGTAACTAGTGCAAAACATTTTTCAAGAGTTAAACATTTACTATGAAATCCACAAACATACAGTATATAAAGTACCAACTGACTTGTAGGTTTTCACAGGTCTCCTGGCTGTACGTGATCCTCTGGATCTCAGTGGGGGAGCAGAGGTACATGGCCTGTCCCAGGTTGGTGAAGCAGAACGTCCTGGCTATCCGCATGTCTGTCAAAGGCAGGTAGTTTACATCCATGAGCGGTCTTAATCCTGGCAAACTAGACAGGGGACATGGAAATAATTCAAGTTATTTTAGATCTATGGAATACAACAATACTTTTTTGGCCTTTCTGATACTGTAATTAAAATATTTCAGTCCACTGTACCTGTCATTCCATTGTTCATGCACTCTTAATTGACAAACAGACTCAGAGTACACACCAACACACAGGGTAAACCCCAAATCCCTTAATTTCATCCACCTTTCCCTCACTTGCATCTTTTCCTTGTCTTAGTTCCACCCACATAAGACACAAGGAAAAGATGCAAGGAGAAATTGCACAGAGAGAGGAATAACAGAAACATGTTCAAGACACATGAGACTTCCTTTCCTCTGATCCTTCATCTGAATGGTCTCTTTAAATCCAATAATATGAACATGATTTAATGGCTGATACATTCTATTAATAACTGACTATTTCTATCTGCTCTTTCACACAGACTGACATATTTCTCACCTGAGGGTCATGATATGGCCGTTGGCACAGAAACACGCCACACACATGCCTTGGCTCATCTGCACCACATTGGCCTGTAAGATGAAGGAGGTCTCTGTGATGCTGTGTTTGTAGATGCAAGTCTGGGAGGGGAGGGAAATGACTTTGGCCTGTTTCTCTGAACACACTACAGCGTACTGGCTCTCATTCAGGTCCTGGGAGGAGGAGGGCGACACGGAGACGGGCCGGCGCTTACGGACCTTCTCTCTTTCTTCACCATCTGCTGTAATGTTGGGTTCATACCAAGGCTCATATGCAGGGGGCAGCAAGGACCCTGCTGAGTCCAGGATAGCCATCCGCATGATGGCGCCCTTGAGTCGCACCAACAAGCCTGGTGCATGGAAAGAAAAAGGCTTGTTACTGAAATCTGAATTTAAACTGTGTGGCATTATCTTTTTCACAAGGCTTTAAACTTTTAGCGCTAATTTTGGATGGACAGTTTTACCATGAACATTACTGTTCATAAAATATAAGTTTGCACATTAACCTTGAACATACAAAGACAGTACAAGTTTCTTAATGTTTCTTTTTATCTTACTTTACTGCTCCTTTATCTTATATAACCTGCCTCCAATTTTTGTAATTTTCATTTTTGAATTTTACATGTACCCTATTGAGTTGCCGGGAATGTTTTGATAGTAGATTAGTAGATTTGAGGGGTTTTAGTATGTGTACAACCCAAAACAACAAATGGGGAAAAACTGCTGCAACCAAGAAAAAATGTGCAGTGCAGGCAGACCAAAAAAATAAATAAATAAAAAAATAGGAGGCAAAATGAGGTCCCATGGTTTCTTCCTATTTCACTAAATGACAGTGGCACCAAGAAATGAACAAATGCTGCAGCAAGACCACAAAGAAGGCTGATGGTAAATGTAGGCATGGATGTAAATAATGCTGATTTGGAAATATTCAAATGGTTTATGAGGACGTAAATGCATTTAACTTGTCTTTTAGGCATCAAGGTCAGTTTTCTTTTTTAAGTACCAGATGAAAACATAACTGTTCTTTGTTTAGATGAAGACAAGGTACTTTTAACTAACATGTTTCTCATTGGGCTGAAGAAGTTGTCAGGTTCTGAGGTGAATGATACTACAAAACCTTACATTTTCACCTAAATGAAACAGCATGAATATTTTATTCACGTTTTGTTCACCAAGTTCTACTCCTCATTTCCCATAACTACAACACAGATAATCTATCACCCTATTTTTCAATCTTTTTTTTCCCTTTCACAGTCCTATTACCCACCCGTAGGTGAAATGATAACTGGCTGCAGTTGCCGTTGCTCCCCAGCAGGTGGCAATGCGAGTGCTAGGGCCAGTACAGTTCCCAGTGAGGTGCCCACAAACAGGCAGGGTGTCAAAGTGCTGTCCCCTTTCCGGGCAAATGTCTCGCAGAAATGGAAGGAGCTGATGGATTCTCTGGATTCCTTGTCGATGCTGGTGACACTGGAGGAGCGTGAGCGGCTGAAAGAATTGTCCCGGTGGTCTAATGGGTTGGCACCCCGTGGTGGACATACAGACAGGAGGACAGTAAGGAGAAACAGAGACAAGTAAAGCACTCGCAAAGCAAAGAAACTATAGGACAGACAAGACAGATGTGGACACCGTACTGTACATACAAAATAAAATGATAAACGGTCAATTTTTTATAGGGTATAACTGTATGTGTTTAGAACTGATCTCTGTAAGATGTCAACAGTGCTGATCCAGGAAAGTGGAAAAGAGTGTATGCACTGACATTCTTTACATTTGGTAAATGTGTAAAAGGCTGTTGTACAATATTTATATCTCTAAGTCAGAGTTATCCATTAATGCTAACTGCCAACACAGCAGAACCACCATAAACCTAACTGATATCTCCCACAGGGTTCCTACACTATATTGTACAATAGAAGCAAATGCAACACAAATATGCAGTTTGCACATTTTCACAAAGGTTTTTAAATATTCCATCCTCAAACAGTCATTTTATCAGTATAAAACAACAGGGCTACAGGTACTTTGGTTGCATGTGTATACTGTAACACTGGAACTCTTTTAACCAAGCAAACAGGTAAAGGTGTGTTTTAATTTGACCCCCTAGAAATTAAACATTCCATCCATGGTACTCTAGAAGAAAGCTGTATACCCGTGAAGAAGGGAATCTTTTTTTAAAAGTGATGAGATTTATATTTGGAAACATTTAAAGGAACCAGTCAGACAGAGAAAGAAAAGACGTGAGGAACAGAGGAGAGAAAGAGAAAGCTGCAAAAATTACAGGAAGCTTTACAGTGAGATGGAGTGTGCAAAGTTTAGCTTAGCACCACTGACCTCTAGTAAGACCCCCAAAAAGGTCAAAAGATAGGAGTCAGACTGCACAGAATTTCAAAATGAATTTATTAAAAAAATTTCACTTAATTCAATTAATTTCAATTCAGATCTGATCAGTGCTACTTTGGTCTCATGCAAACTTAGGAGAACATATGCGTAGCTTGCCAATTTTGAGGCTAATAACCAGATAAAACTGGACTAATGAAAAGTGGTAAAGTCCAGCGGGAGTGACAAAAGTACACTGCAATTCATACATATTGTTTGGAGACACAAAGTCAAGGCTTACCCAAGTCTGGCTTTAGCTCAGTAGGCAAGCTTAATTTCCGTGACATCTTTGCTGGAAAAAAGAGAACATCCCTCTTTACAATGACACATCTAAGCTAACACACGATGCCATGCAAAGCTAGATAACTAGCATTGAGCTAGGATTATGCACAAAGCTTAAATACAGGGCAAAGGCTGTGGAACAAGTGCCTGGTGATTGTGTCACTGAATAGAGGAGCCAAAATGCTTCACACAGAAGAAGATACTGCATAAGGACAACCCTGTATTTCACAGAGACATGCTGTGACAGACAAAATAAAGGCAGTGATCGGTGCTTGCGCAATGCCCTGGAAGAGAGGACTGCCACAGGAGCATGCACCAAGAACAAGAAGATAACAGGAAACAAAATACTGAACAGGAGATGGAAGAGGACAGTGGAAACACTGGTCAAAAGTTAATACTGTTGCTAGCTATTGTAGGCCGAGTGGACTTGGGTTACTGTTTATAGCTTGCTTACCTTATTATTAATTACCAAAAAACTTCACACACACACACAAACACCTAATTCCACTTCTCTGCCTGGTCTAAATCCATATTGTATGTTTTCTTATGAGGTGAGATACACTAGATTTTTTTTATCTGGAATACCAATCTTTCCATTCTGAGTGAAATTATTAATAGATACAACAGTGAATGAGGATAATGCGTATGATTTCTCTGTTTGCAGGATAAAAACGTAAAAGGAACTCTATGTGATTAAACACCCTATAAAGCAGGTGGAAACATTCCTTACTTCACTCAGAAGCAACACAGCTCCCCACCCCAACACCCCTCAGCAAAAAAAAAATAACATCAGACAACAGTTTTTATTTTCTTTTTTGATTTTGTATACTTCGAATATCTGCGGCTCTTAACTGAGTTCTTCTGCATTTTTTTCAAAGCTTGCTTTGTCAAGCTTCTGAACTTAATCAATGTATAGAAACCTTACCTTTCCTTGTATTTATCTTATTAAAGGCTCTGGACACCCACACAGGCGTTTTAGTTTATTCTAAGGTTGAGTGGAGCTATGATGGGAATCATGTGAGGTCAACAACCTCCATGAACCCAAAGAAAATAACTGAGGGGAAATGTCTCCAGCCCGATTGCCGGCCGGTATTGGCTCCGGCCCCACCCGTGACCCCGTTCAGGGACTAAGCGGTTTATGAATGAAATGCCCCCACCCTCACGGGTGCTGGGGGGGGGGGAGGATAAGCTTATTCCAGAAATTTTACTTAAGCTTTGAAGGTCTACAGTAATTAGTGAAAACAAATGTGGGTGTACTGAGAATGTGTAGGACCTTTCCTTTGAGTATAGTTTAAGTATTGCGCATTATCAGATTTTAACAGGATTCATACTAATTATATTAGATAGGAATCCACAACGTGGATTCCAGGTCTGGGAAAGTCGCCCAGTCTCTAATGAAATAGTCATTTCAGATACCTACGTGCTGTCACTTGAATCTGAAAGAGAATGGGATTATGAATTCCTCATATGAACATAAAAAATATTTTATTCTACTTAAACAGCTGATACATATTTATTAGCTTCATCAAGGCACACTGGAGGCACACAAAGACAGTTGGACAGATGAACTGCTCTCACTTTTGAGGTTTCATCATACTGTACTTTACTATGGACAGTCATATCAAGACAGATATCAAGCACAGGCACATTTACAATTCGACACTCATGTTACATACATGTAGCAGGCAACATGTGTATACGGCAACTAAGATGTACCGGGCGTCCACAGGTTAGACTCTGCTCCAAGAGCTTTCAGTTCTGGATGTGTGGTCTGTGTGCTCAACAGTAAAATATGAGCATCGCATCGTAAAAAATTAAACAGCTGTTACAGCTGTTTATTACAGTGTGAAGCAAAAGATAGTGGAACAGACGCTAACCTTGAAGTGAAGTTAAACTTCGACTCTCCCTCTAGTCTATTGCTTCCTACTGTGGTGACTGTGACACGGATGACGGAGACAACTTCTCTACCACAGGGAAAAACAACAGGGAGGGGAAACAAATCTGGACTATGTTTGTCCTGCCTACACAGCCTCTCAAGAAAATCTTTGGCCACTCTTACCTCCTCTACCACCTCCATTGTAGAACTGCTGTAGATTGCTGTTTGACATCAACACTTTAGGGGTGTAAGGGGGAAAGTAAAGTACAGTAAATGTGCAGTTAGAAACACCCTTCAGTGTGTCAACACACAAGCTGTTACCATGATGAGTCACTTTTTTTTTTTTTTTTTTTGTCCTTGGCAGCAAAACTATCCTTTTAATTTCATTAAAGCTGGCTCAGAATTCTGACTCAAATGCCAAGTTTTCTGATATAAAAGCCTGCACTGTAACAGATTCACCGTTAAGAAAATATGATAGACTACAACTGCATCCTTTTTACATCAGAACAATTTGCTGGATTAATCAAGTCAGGGGGGAGGTTCTAGTCCCGTTTAATATCTACATAACAGCTAAACGTGAGTAAATATTCTTAAATAAAGTCGCAATAAATGTCTCATGCTGCTACTTTTGGGAGAATAGACTAGCCCATATATACAAATGGGTGACTCCCATGTAAAACAGACAAAACTGCATGAAAATAAAATGTAATTCTGTTCTTCCACTGGACATAATCACTTAGGGGGATAAGAACACTTAGCCCCAAAATAAATGACTTGTTAAGGCAGACAAGAATAATGCAGAGCAGACAGATGTAGCAGACCGCAGTCTGGAGGCACCAGATGGGGGGTTGGGACAGCCATCATATGTGGAAACAGCAGCAGGACTCCAGACTTTGAAATTTGTTTTCTGTCTGACCTTTTTAAAAAGCTCCTTATTTTCAGTGCACTAATGCCAATTCACCCCTAATGAAATGGATCTGGGGTGTTCTGTCTTCACATGCTTTCAGCTGAAATACTAATGACATAGATTATAAGGCAAGTGTAAAGTGCAACATTACTGCAATGCACTTCCACACTATTGCCTCGATACCTGTACTTACATTTAGCAGTGGTGCATAATGTACAGTAGTAGTAGGCGACATAAAGCTGTTGATCAAAATTTGTGTTGCTTTCGTCAGTACAATCTTTGTTTCATCTGGTCACATTCCTGATATAATATCATATATAATATGATAATGAACCAGGAAGAATCTGCTTCAGTACACTGCACCCACACACATTTAAATGTTTGACTGGAGAAAAAAGAAATCCTAACACAAAGTAAAAGTCAAAATTTAAATCAGATAATACTGGCAAGTGACACAGCGTATTTAACTGTTACACAATTATGCAGTTACTGAATATGTGAAAATATACTTCAGATTGATAATAATAACTTTTAATAATATTAACTAAATGTGCTTCTCCAGCAAAATCCAGTTCTTTAAAAGCTTTTTTCAATTTAGAATTCAGCACTGTCACACTGAATTAACGTCATAAAGAATGGATACATTTAGAGCCTGTATCCATTTTTCCAGGATACTGAGTGCGATTAAAACTAATTTATTCCTGTCTATTGAACTCTGCAAAGTGGTAAAATAATGCATGCACAAATGGGGAAATACTCTTAAAAACCCATAAACGTACAGTATTAAACTCAAACAGTGTACTTCTAAAGAGGCAGAATAAAACTGGCAGCCAGACAATTTAATGGTTCAACTAAAACACCCTCCCGTACAGTTCCACTTTGATGAGCACCAATTTCAATAAAACAGTATTAAAAGTAGCTGCTCTTTTGAAACGATCTTTTTCTCTAACCAGTGCCTCTATTGCATTCAAATATAAAGTAGTGGAGGTATATTTTTGATGTGTTCACTGTTTGGGTTTTATATCTACGTAGCACAAAGCCTTTGCTATATTTTCCCTACTGAAGGACATGATACCTGAAGTAGGGGACTTGCAGCGATCCTCTGATGTGGCTGAGCCCTCGTTGATATCACACAGACCTACAGCAGAGATCAAACAATTCAACCCATTAAATATGAAATAAGGCAAAAAAGAACAACAGTGTGCATTTTGTGTACTTACATTGCTATCCCCCCCCTTTTCCCCCCATGTCACATACTGCAAATTCAGAAAGAACTTAAGATAATACCAGATTTTTGGGAGAATAGACTAGCCCATACATACAAATGGGTGACTCCCATGTCTGCTGTTATCTTTATTTAGCAAGTAAACACATCAACACACCAGCCCACTGGAAACTGTATTCCACTCACACAACAATTTTGTGCAACCTCAGTAATTCTTCACCCATTTTTAAGTCTATTTCCTCTCTTTGCTGTGTCCGTGTTTGTGTATGAGCGTGTGACCTTGTACTGTGAGGCAGAAAGCCAAGCACGCAGCCCTCCCTGTTGGTAGAGAAACACAGCTGGACGCCTGATTACTGTTCACACTTGCCAAGCTCTGACAGATGCCAGCCCACTGCTCACTAGTCAGTGACACCACACGCTCAGCGTGCATTTACATGTGCAAGTACCTGCGTATATGTGTGCACAGTCCTGTGTGTGTGTGCATTCATTTGAACATTTATAAATGCATAAATGTTTGTGCTCAATATATCATGAACACCAAAAAGAAATCCCTCAGCATCAGCACACAGCTGATTAATCCATCCATTAACTTTTGCCTAAGTAGGGGCAGTGTATCATCGTGACACTGCAGCATCATCTGTGTAGCTGCATTGCCATCATCTAACAGATGATGGCAGTGTGTCCATACTAAAGGCATCCTATTGTCTATCAATGGTAACATGAAGCTGCAGTGTCAGTGAGTGTAAAAGGCTGAGAGAGGGTGTGTGTGTGAATGAGAATGAGAGAGACAGAGAGAGGCAGGTGGACAAAGGGAAAGTCAAGCAAAGCACAATGTTTCTACATAGTTTCTATGAGCTTCACTATGCCTGTGAAATTGATACATGGTATCTGATGTTTGGTGTGATTTTCTGTCTCAGCACTTTAATCAGATGCTAAGACAGTTTTTGAGTTTGAGCAGAAGAAGCTTTGATGTGTGATTCGTCAGCTGTGGACATAACACAATGTCGAGTTACTGTGTGTCTTGCGGCTGTACTAAACTAGAAAGAAACCATAAAAAGTGTGGTGATAAAAAAATTTAAAGTTTTGTTTTCCCTCCTTTCTTCTTCTTCTCCCTTTACCTCCAGAAGGCTGTCGTGTCTTTCTTGGCGACCGGGGCTGTCTCTGGTAGGGGTCATTGGAGCCGTAAAGCTCGACCGTCCCCAGGTTGAGCACTACTGTCTTCTGG